GGGAGGATGGTGTACCAAATTCTCTTTGTTCCTATGTCTAGCTAGAAAATGATGGAGGGGGCTACTTAACCAGTCCATGGCAAAACTCACATCAGGCCCAGGCCACTGGACTCTCTCCTGGTGTTCTTCTCAGGCAGGAGTGAGTTTATACTTGCTTGCCAAAATACCAATGGTTTAACAAAAAGTACAAGCAAGCTCAGTAGCCGTGGAGAGTTTGGGACTATGGTTAAGAAAAATAAAAAGAGAAGAAATAATGGAAGGGATGCATTACTATATTAACAAAGCTCAATGCTCATGGTCATAGATGAATGCACTTATCTTACTGATTTTCCAAGTTCATCTTATCGTCAATGCAAAACAGCTTCACAGCAACTGGGATTCTCACGTCCCAAAGGACCTTACTACATACCTGCCACCCTCCCTGCTTTGTGGTCAGGAGGCAGACTGCAGTCATGGAGAAGATGAATCTGTTACCTACCATGGTAAGGTAGACAAAATTATTGAAACTAAAGGACAGTCACCAATGTATATTTGTCCTCTATCAGAAATAAGGCCTTTCAAATGGTCACAACTAAAGACCATACTCATAAGCGAAATAAATCAAACATACATGTGCAAGCACCACATTGTTTCTCTAGTGTAAAGCCTGAAAGAGTTAATTTAAACTAGGAGATATGACAGACATTGGGAATTGATAGGAAAGCACTCATAGGTAAAGGATAACTGGAATATGGGAAAAGAGAAGGGAAAGAAGGAGAAAGTTTGTATATATGTATATGCAGGATAGTTAACACAGGTGTTCTACTATCCTGTATTTCCTTGCTGAAAGAAACTGTCAGTGAGGCATTGGTTGATTAGCTTTGTATGTCTATATGTGTTTTCATGAGAAACTACATTGAAGATATCAATATGTAATACAATAAGCATTGTTAATTCCCTACCACTCTGTTTGTAACTCTGTAATGTCTGTACTGATCCTATGCTATTTTGTAAAACGTTGTCGATCTGTTAGTATTTTCCTCCTTTTATTTCTAAAATTAAAAAAAAAAAAAAAAAAAAAAGAAATAAGGCCTTTGTGTAACATAGGTCAAATGCCCAATAGTCGTCCACAAAATCTGATATTCAAGTGTCCCAAGCAGAAGACTTGGACATATGTGGACAAAGTGTGTGACATAAGAAATGACAGTGATGGCTGCTCAGATCAATCAGGCAAAATGAAAACACACATTTGAATTTTTTAATGGATTCTTCGAGCAGCTGTCCTTGCACACTTCAATTACATAAAATAACTCATGTTTAGAAAGCTTCCTTATGAATACTGTCCAGCTACAATTAAGACTTCTATATCTCCAGGGCTGGGGTGTAGCTGTGGGATAGAGCACATGCTTGGTAGGCAAAGATCCTGGCTTCCATGTAGAGCATCGCCACAATCAATAAATAGTTTCTGCCTTTTTACACAGGCAGACGTTAATAAAGCTAAGTTAATAAAGCCAGCTGTACAAGGTTTAACAATGGAAAAAATCTCAATGCACAGCCCCTGTCTGCTATCAAACCCATTTGGGATCCTTTGGCAATTATGATGACCATTTTTTTTTTTTTTTTTTTGCAGTACTTGAGATCGAATTCTGGACCTTGCGCTTGCCAGGAAGGCGCTTATGCTGCTGAACTATATCCCCAGCCCAAAATTTAAGGAATAAGAACTTGTATGTGTGTGTTTTTTTTTGTTTTTGTTTTTGTACTGAGGATCGAACTCAGGACCTTGTGCTTGGCAGGCAGGCGCTTGTGCCGCTGAGCTATATTCCCAGCCGGCAATTATGAGAAAGATTAAAGAAAAGCCCATACATTTTGTGGCTCGCAGACATTTTGTTGCAAACCTTTGTTCTTTCTTTGCCCTTTCTTCCCCGCTGTCCTCCCTGTTGCCTACCACGTTCCCCAGTGCTTTAGACTGAGCAGCACTTCGGGCCCCTCACAGTCCAGCAAGGCTGGGTTATTCTAAAGCCGTGGCAGCAGATGCCAATTCCGACTTAACATGACCCTAATCAATGTATGAAATGCTTCTCAGACATGTACTAGATAATTATCTGCCCTTTGTTCATCATGGTGGGCAGAAATAGAAACACACCCTAGGAACTGTGGCCGGCAATACTGAAAGTAGAGAGCCTTCTCTTCTGGCTAGCTGCCAATTAGCAAATAAAGATTATTTCCCTGCTGGCTGAAATACAGACTCATGCGGACCGCTCCTTGCTTATGTAGTATGTCAGTGTGTTTATTTTTAGGCTGACAGGGGGAGGTGGTACTCTCCTTGACTTTCCAAAGTACAACATACAGAATTTTTAATAAACATCTGCGATTTTCTCCTGAAGACAGCTTTCACTAATATTTTTAAGACCCAAAGGGCTACTTCTTGTCCAATAGCATCTTTTCCAGTTCACCTTGACATTTTAACAGCTCTAGTTTTAAAAATAAATACAACTGTTTAGTTTTGCATGCCCTGAGTGTTCGGGCTGGAGATGTGATACTGTTTTCTTTGCTGCGCCTGCATTCCCAGAACTTGCCGCAAAAATGGCACTCCAGACTGTGCAGAGTGCAGCGATGAAAACGCGTGCGAGCAGTTTTCCAATCATGGCTTTGGAGAAGCTGGAAACTATTACTTGCCTTAAGATTTCTTTAAAAACCTGACACGTATCTATCTAAATCTGGATAGGAGGGAGGGAAGAGCTGGTAAAGAACACGAACCTAGTGTTACTGGGGGGAAAAGCAGAAATCAGACCCAACATTTAGGTACCACTGGCCCATTTCTACATGTTTCCATATTAGAGAGTGTCCTGTGCCTGGGTCATTATGGGGATCACGCAAGTGTACTCCAGCTTATTTCAACAGAATATGGACAATAATTCTCCAAGCTTTCAGATCAACATAGATGTCTCTGGTTCTGACCTAGCTGAAAACGAGACCAGAATTAGTCTTAGAAGTAGAGGAGAGCAGCCGAAAACTGTCAGGTCAGAATGACTTGCTTTTCTGGTTAGCCAGGGTCTAAATTTCTTTCTAGTAAGAATGAACTTGAAAGAACAGAGCAGGTTTGAACCCCATCCTACCACTTAAAGGGCTGTATGATCTGAGAGTAAATTTCCTTGACATGGTTTTCTCATCTGTACAATGTGGCTCCTTTAGGGTGTTTGGTAAGCACGTAAGACCTAAGAGGCAGTGCTATTCACATAATCATAGCTACAGGAGCTATAAACAATTCAGAGAAAATCGCAAGGTATGGCAGATCATACTGTTGTCAAAAATTATCTGGTACCCCACTCGAGAACAGATGACAGCTGTCCTTCCACAATGCCAAGGCCATCAGACTTGACTATGTCACTTCCTCTGGCTGATTAAACTTTGTCATTAATGACACACATCACCCCCCAACTTAAATTTATGAGGAGCCAGCTGGTTTTTTGCCACCTTTTCCTTGTCATGAGATTGGCAGTGTTCCTACCACAGGCAAACCGCAAACATCATGTGACTAACTTTTCTTGCAACTAAAATATTTGGTCATTTGTCAACTGCGGAATAACCTTATCTACCCTGCTAGTGAAGAACTACAAAGAAAAACAAAGCAAAAACTCCACCCTTTCTTAACCCATAGCTACCATCACATACCCTTATCACCTAAAAACACTTTTACATGTTTGGGAAGGTCTGATTAGGGGCGTAGTAAGATTAATTTTCAACAGCACGGGAGAGTAAACAAGCTGCCTGTGGGGAGGTCTGGCTGGAAGCCCTTGTGCTTAAGTCCCTTTCCTATACATTTACCTCCCAACAGCTGGGAAGACAGCCAGTGAGCTTGTCAGCATGCTGTCACAGAGACAACTCCCAAGGGTCTGTGCTATTCAAAAGCGAGCCGAGGGCCCAGCCCCCCTCCAGAGCTTTACTCCCTGCCCTCCACTTGCTTCCCTCAGTTACACATCCACGTGACTTTTGGTGAGTACCAGCTTTAGCCTATCTTCTCTGCCCAAGTACCAGAAGTGGCCAAAACAGGACCTGCTTCATCAATGTGGGAATACCAAGTACCTAACAGTCCAACCGGGCCAAAATACTCTGGAGATGTATACTTGGTTCTTCTAACTGTTACTTAGTGAGACTTCTGGATTCCCATTACTATACCACCACACTTTACTAGCAGTGATACACATACAACCTTCAAAGAAAATGACACAGTACAACATAAATGTGCAAGTATTTTTATAGAGCACCACTTTGTGGTACCATAACTAATAGTGACTTAGATACAGCTGAATGGTACCTTCAAATAGGGCTTGCAAATTGCCAGTAGTATTTTAAATAAATTCTTGTTGTAAGTACAATTTTCTTCCACTGGCTTTGATAGTTTGCACATAATCATCTCAAGTTTGTTTTGTAAAAAGGTCCCATAACTACATATACTCAATTCTACCATGTGCTAACATGTTTAAAAGGAGCCTTTGCCATCTACAATGTTACCACTTATGGAAGCAACCCAGGAAACATTCCTACTAGAAATACTACTTTTTTCAGCCACTTCTCAGAATAACCTACAAAGAAGGGATCTGGAGCATAATTAACTTCTTTTCATTATTTTTTTTAAATCTAAACTTCAGGGTACATCTACATAATAGAGGCACTTGTTTCTACCTCATAAACTAAGAATGGAAATGAGGTAAAGGCACTTCCTATATGCTTATAGGAAGTAACATCAAGAGAAAAAGTTGCTTGCTTACCCACAGAAACACACTATATTCTTAAAGTATATTGGTACCACATAAAGCATCCAAGTACTAAGCGCTGGGGAAAAGTTTTCAAACATGAGAACTTCACACCACCTTTGGTATACTATACTGTTTTTAAATCTTTAATTTAATAAATTCAGTCAAAGGGTTTATCAGCCACATTACCTACCATGGTTAGTCTTCAGTAAGTAAGTTTGCCTACTGTGTACAGATGAGCGTAAAGGAAATAAAAAAACAAAAACATACTAGGCAAAGAATTTTATTAATCTTTGTTTCAAACTTTATTCCCAGGCTTCTCCAGCTTAATTGGCTGCAAAGAATGAATTGTATGTAAGCAAAAACTGAAAAGAGCTGCAGTGTCCAAGGGGCTTGGGCTTAAAAAATATTAAGAGATCTAGATTTTATCAGATCCATAAACAAAAACAATTTTAAAAAGCAGTCATAATATAAAATAGCAGCTCCCAGTAACTTCTTCCAAGTCTTATCTTTTTCAGAAGCTGACTTCGTTCAGTTTGCCTCATTCTTAGAAGCCTCATCAAAATTCTCCACAAGATCTAAGGGGAAATAAAAGGGGTAGAAAGTCTGAAAAAAGTCAAATCCATAAATTATCAGATGTTAACACATAAGGAAATGCTCTCCAACTTGCACACCTATTATTTCAATGAGATCACTATCCATTTGGTACATTGAGAAGTGCAGTTTTGAGCATATAATACAAAATAGTTATTCTGACAATGATATATGCACCACGCTCAAAGAACACATTTATATACAAGCTTTCCATTCCCTTAAAATTTAAAAATGCAAAACACTGGTTAATATGGGACAGAACTAAACACTGTGATACAACTGTGAAGTGTTCTCAGGTTTCTATGAACACTCACTCATCCATGCAAAGTGGCAATGTATACGAATCTAGCGATTCTTTTGCCGAAAACATGTTTTACCACAAAGTGATGTAGTAACAGATTTAAGAAACTTCTCCATGAGATTTTATAGGTTCAAAGATTTTAAGTAGGAAACAAAGGTCATGTGTGATCACCAGATAGTTTTATTTAGGTCACAAGTAAACAATATTCAATACTTAAGGTTAGATACCTACATCTCCTTGGGATCTCAAACACAAGCCAAGTCTATAAATATAACTCCTAGTTAACACTTATTTTTCTCATTCCAAGTTCCCCTTCCTCCAGCCTTAGCCCCTGTTAATCTACTACCCCCACCCTAGCAGTTTTTTCTGTTAACATTTGTTGTTCTCTCTTGCTAAGAGTCTCTAGATTAACCACCAGTAAAGGTGCCTACCTGGAACTTCATCATCATCATCCTCTCCAGTAGCAAGTGGGGCTTTTCCATCCACAGCTGTGAGAAGGAAATAGAAATGTAAATTCCCCATTTATCTAGGCTTTCAATAAACATTAAAAGAACAATAGACGAAATGTCAAGTGTTACTACAATTTATGTTCATGATGACAAGTAACAGTTGAGATTTGACCTATAGTACCATTAATATGATACTCTGATGTGTACGAATACTAGAACAGTAGAAATAGCTAACAAATTAAATTCCACGACCACCCTTTCAATCCCTCTGGTGCACCACAGACCTGGATGCAGGGTGAGATCAGTATGGAGCCATCAGGGATAAAACCCACACACCAAATTCTGGTAAGACTTATTTTGGTAAGCAAACAAGAGTATTTTCTTAAATACTCTTGTTTGTACACAGTAAAAGCCTCAAAAAACATTTACTGAAATGAAATAAAGTAATCAAAAAACTAGAAGTGTTTTTGAATGGTAAGCAATTACTTTATCACACAAAAATGTAAACTACACATAGTTATGAGATCTTGCAGTACCAGCCTCTTGTGGGTACAGGCGGAATATTTCAAGAGACTATTTTCTTTTTGAAAGGTAAGATGGCCTAAAATCTTTTAATACCTCTCCGTGTAGCAATACAAACTGAGGTAGAGTGAGTCCACATCTAGCAAAACATGGGAAACTAAACAGGAAGCTATATATACTATAACTGAGTCGCTTCCTGTTCTTCAAAATTTTAAACAAAAAACCTCAGCATAAAATTGTTACATCCCCTGATACACTACCTTCAACTCTGAACAAAATTCCTATCAAACTGTAATTAAAAACGTCAAAAGCTTACTGGCAATACTAACTGTGATGATACAACTAAAAAAAAACCATAACTAGTCAATGACAATTTGTTGTATTTCAAAATACAGATCCCAAAGTTTAACCTACACAGAAATGATAAATGTGGGAAATTCTAAGTATAATAGTTTATTTTTAAAATCACTTCTAATCTGTAGTTACCAAAAGTCCAAAATTAACATTTTCATCATTTCCAGCTAATAAAGCTAAAAAAAATCTTAATCTCTGACCCAAAGCAAGCGAGACAGATTACTGTAAACATCAAGAATACTAGCTTAAAATAACTGGGTTTCAGTTTGCTTTCCAAACCTAAAAAGTCACATCAACTTAGAGCCGTACATCACAAAACTGCTGCTAAATGAGTAAATCCCATTAAAACCAATAGGAAACTCACATTGTTTGGGCAGAGCTTCAGCCAGTCTCCTTAAACTAGTCAGACTGTCTGCACCAAGCTGGTTCAAGATGCTGGGTAGCATTTCTGTCAGTTGTTTTGTCTCAGCATGGCCTGTAATGGTGAAAGTGTTTGCTGCCAGAGATGCCTGAACTTTTGGGTTGTTGAAGTGGATAACTGTTCCTTGGTTTGTAAACATATTCACCTATGAAGAAAAAAATTAAATTAGCACTGCCCATCAAAGTTTCCTTTAAAACTGAGTATGTTTCATTAAATAAACATTGACATCCACATAGTTAATCTAGTATTTTGCTTTGAAGTACAGGTAAAATTCTGCCTGGAACTGAATGTGCAATCAAATAGTTTGCACACTAGCAATCTCTTGGATACTCGCTAACAGGGTAGAAACACAACTTAAGAACTTTCAAACTGCAGTGTGATAACTGAGAGCTTTAAAAAAAAAAAAAAAGCTAAAATTTCAAATTTTTCTAACCAAATCTTACTAAAAAAACAAAAGTTGACACTTACCTCTTCAATACCAGAGATATTGTTTACCCCTAACTTCTTTAATGAGAACTGAAGTTTTTTATCATCTGCTGTAGCTGTTCTATGAACCACCTTCTTCTTTCTGCGAGCAGTTCCCTAATGTGAGAAGAAAAGGGCAAAGAGCACCACACTTCAGCCATAGCAAATACTTTCAAAACGAGAACTGTTTCTAATTTTTTCTGATCTTTGGTTCTGTGTAAGAAAAAAATTACCACAACCACAAACTACATAGTTAAGTAGGCAGACTAAGGTAAAGATGGACCTTAGAACAGGAAGGATTATATAAAAATCCTTAACTTCTAGTTTTGTCAGATATTTTAAAAAGTAATCAAAGAGGTGGCATGTATCAGCCTAATTTAAGCTTCATTAAGTTCCACAGCTAGAATTAACCTTTTGTTTTCTGTTAAAGAAAAGTCAACATCCAAAATAGTATTTACAAGCAAAACAATGTGAAACAATCCAATGAACTTATGCATAGACTTGCAAACCACTGAGAGTAAAAACCTGCATTTCTTATCTTAACCTACAAGGCAGCTAACATGGTCTTTCCACCCCTAACATGCTGCTCTTGACCATATCTCCTCAACCCAAGAAACCTCTGTACTATCCCTTAAACAGGCAACCAGACTATAACCACCAATGTAAAATAGCAACCCCCTCATCATTGTCTATCCTGGTTTACTTTCACAAAACTTATTACCACAAGACAAATACATTTTATTATCTGTCTCCTCTCACTACAGTGAAAACTCTCTGAAGACTTCTGTTTTTGTTTACTGCTATAGAAACAGTATCCAGCTTGAAAGCACTCAAAGGAAAAGCTACAACCCAACCACCTCACTGTCCCAACTGCTATCCCAATTCGTACTCACTTTTTCTTTTCTTTTTTTTGAGAGGAGGTCTCACTTTGTAATGCAAGCTTGCTTCAAAGTCACATGAATTCTACTGCCTCAGCCTCCCAAATGCTGGATTACAGGCGTGTGCCACCACACTCCACTCATGCCAAATCACTTGGATCTCTACTTTGAGAGTGCTTCTACTATATTAGGCCTATTACACTGTGAAAATAAAATTTGTTGCCCAGTCCTGGTCCTCCTGCCTCAGCTTTTCAGAGGCCTGGGATTACAGGCCTGCCCCACCACACCTGGCTGAACTTTACATTTAAACTGTGTATTATCATGATTAAACATAGTAAGAGCTTAAGTAAACCATACTTTAACTGAAGAAATGATCAGGAGATTAACACACATATACACACACAAATCTCCCTAAAGTTTGAATTATCACTCTGAAGTGGTCATGTAGACACCTGGCTTCCAAAGACTTGTAAGAGTCTAAAACCTCCTGCAGGTTCCACACATTTCACAAATGGAGAGTTCGACTTACTTAATGAAGCTAATCAGGTTAGTAACATGCACAGAAGCACAGAATGTGCACTGAAACTACACTGGATGGATGGTTAAAAAGACCAATATAGAGAATCCAAGCACTGGCTCACCAAGAATACAACTGAGTTTTTCCGCACTCAATGGCTACAGCCTGTAATTGTTAAAAAGGTCAAATACCTACTGTGGTTAACATGTAGGTGTGGATCTTGAAGACTACCGGTGTCAGCAAAAGGAAAAATCAGGATATTCACTCTGGCAAGCCCAGTAATTTAACAAAGCTGCAGCTTACTATTTAATCTATGTTAAACTTCTGAATACCTCACAGGAGACTCTACTTGAATGCCTAAAGCTGGAAAGTTTTAACAGGTAATAAATTTGTATTATGGCAGCTTCTTTACAAGTTCTACCAAGTAAGAACATGCTCTGTTTCAACAAGCTGCCTGCCACACCTTGTTAAACAGTGGGAATGTGCTAACAATACAAAACACAAGTAAATTGCTTTTAGAGAACAATCTACAAACTAAGTTCAAAAAAGCACATCCTCAAAGAAGGTATACACTGGAAGAATACCCACCTGAAAAAACCAAGTAACCAAAACAGGTCATTTAAAATGCCGTTACCTTAACTTCCTCAGTTCTAGCATAATTAAAAAGAACAGAAAAGCATCTGCTTTAGTGTATTCAAATCTAACATCACTGTGCTTTAACTCCAAAATTAAACTATAAAGAATCTATCTTCAAATATCCTTGAAAACATACACTATAGCCAGGCATGGGAGTACACACCTGTAATCCCAGCACTGCAGGGGGCTGAAGCCACAGAGGATTGTAATGTTAAGCCCAGTGGGGGCAATTCTGGGAGACCCTGCCACAAAATAAATTTAAGAAAGGGTCAGGGTGGGGGCTGGCTGGGGATGTAGTTCCAGTGCCCAAAGCTCTAGGTTTAATTCCCACCACCACACAAAGAAAAAGAAAAAGGCTTAAGAAGTGGTTCAGCAGTTGAGTGCTTACCTAACACGTGTTAGGACTTGGGTTCAAAACCCAGCATGGGAAAAAAAAAAAAAGACCACCAACTTCCTACAGTTTAAGCCAAAACAACTCCAGGCTGCGGTGTACAAGGACCTGATCTAACTTAAAAGACACATTTTTTTTCTAATAGTAAAACTAAGCAACATTTTGGTAGACTTATACAATGTAACACTAAAAACGGGTTTACACATCTACACAGAACCAATGTTTTAAGTGTTCTTTTCTTGATTTACAGGTACTTGCTCTTCTCCTTTGAATATACAACTACTAGTTCTCACTCATTTATCTGTCTAATCTCTGCTTCTCCTTCTTCCTGGATGTGCCGCCTCTGTGAATTTCTGCCAATAGGCAAAGTGACAAGCCAATTAGTTAGAAATACAAGAAGAACTTTAAAAAGAGTAACAATTAAAACTTACTTTCCCACCAATGCGCACTTGTGCCTGCAGTTTGGCCAGTTTTTCCTGGTTCATGATAGTTTCTTTCATCTAGAGAAAGAGGAAATCCTCAACAAGGGACTAGACCACTCCAGCCCTACACGCCTGTTATTTCCCACGGCATGAACAAATTAAACGCCTTACGAAGGCCGAGGCCTGGACCCCAAATCCACCCCGCAAGGCTCTAAATTTCGGCTCCTAGGGAGCCCCAAGAGCACGCACTCCCCTCCCCGCCCCGCGGCTCCTCGCCTTCACAAGCCCAGCGCAAGGCTCTGCCCCACGCCAAGGGCAGCACCCCCCGCCCCGGCCCCGGCCCGGCCTCGGCCTAGCCGGGGCCTGCCCGGCCCAGTCACTCTCCGCAAGCCTCGCGGTACCTGAGGCTCCTCTCCTCGGGTTCCGCCGAGAGGTGCAGGAAGAGACGGCGTCGCCTCGCCCCCAGGGCAGCCGCCCCTGGCTCGACCTCGCCCCCGAAAGTCAACCTGAGCGGGTGCGCCTGTCCGTCGCATCGCCTTCCTCTCCTCGCCCTGTCCCTCCCTGTCTCGCTCCTTCCGGGAACTTCCCGCCCCCGCTCCCGTCCTCCTCCCACGCCGGCGTCCAAAGCCTTTTTGTACCTTGTCGGAGCGGATATGGGGCAGCGCGGGGGACTAGGGCTGGAGCTCAGAAGGTCTCGGGCAGACCAGCTGAGATTAGGCGCACACACGCGGGGACGCAAGATGGCAGCTAGAGGGAGGCCGGAAATGACGCAACGCCACTTCCTCCAAAATTCAGGAAACGGACTTTGCGTGACTGCGCACGCGCAGCTTTGTGTCGCTGCGTTTGGAGAAGCCCTGCGTGCTGTGGACGCCTGCTGGCTGCGGCCCGAGTGCACCGTCGTTCGTCCTGGAAAGGCCACAGAAGGGTCTGAGAGCTTGATTCTTTGCATAGTTAGGGTTGAGTAAGTCTACCTGTGACCATCGTGCCCTGATCGTACAATTTTTACCTTCCAAAGGAGCCAGGGCTCCTACGAGTGCCCACGGCTTCAGGTGTCTGCTCATTGGATGGTGTGGATTGGAGAACTATAAAAAAAAAAAAAAGACTAAGCTACTTTTGTTTTCCAAGGCCGAACGGTTTGATAGATTTCGAGCCTGCAGTTCAGAATTTCTGGAGCAGTCTCAGAATTCTGTAGGACCAGGCCTGCATTTTAGCCAGTTCAGCAGATAGTTAACCACCTTAGATCCCGAGACACCATTACCTTGTCATAAAGCAGTACTGACCCCTTGATATCGAACTGGTGTGGATTTGACAATGAGCCATTCACAGAGGAACAAACTTTACCTTTAACTAGTAATTTAATCAGAGACGAATGTATGTGGGGTGTGTGTGTGTGTGTGTGTGTGTGTGTGTGTAGAGACCAAAGGCTTGAGTTAAATTTGGGAAAGGCCAGGACAACCTTTAAGGGAGTTGTAAAACCACTGACATTTAAAATGGCAGTATAAGTTAAAGATGCTATCTTTTCAGCCTTTTTTTGTAGTACTGACTCCAAAATATTTTTGTATATTCAAAAGTGAGCCTGAGTTCTCGGCCAGAGAGTACAATTTATACAGCAAGAAAACGAATAAGGACAAACTTTTCCAGTAAGATCATTTTTTCTTTGAATACTTTTTTACCAATACGTTTGTTAAAAGTGCTATGTCATTAAGAAAACCAGTAAGGACAGCTGTATTATTTTTTAAAGTAATTGTAACAGTTATTTGCTCAAAAAACCATGTCGCTGCTATAATCAAATGAGTCAAGTTTAGTAAAATGGGAGTGGTGGTACTAGATTACGTGGGTCCCCATCCTAATAATAAAGGTCTGAATAATTGTACCAACAGTATTCAGTCCTATCAAGATATAAAATTATAGAAATATTTACCTTTTGAAATGAATTTATATCTACAGTCAGGAATATTCTTACCCCTTTTCTCCATATTATGGGGGCAGGGATTTGACAGTTCCTAGTTGTGATATTTTCTGAACTTTTACCTAAATAAGATTCGACATAGTAAGCCTCATACCTGGCTCACCTTTTACATTCTCAGGAAACATGAGTTATTTTTAAATTTAATTTGACTTCACATTTTTCTCTTCTGCAATTTAAAATATACCATGTTGAAAATCAAAGATTTCCTAATAGTAAAAGAATATTTTTTACTTCAGCTGTTTCTGCCTGTTTGTCAGCTGTCAGGATTTTCTGATTTTTCTAATAGTTATCCACCAGTTTTTTTTTTTAAATAACCGTCAAACACCCACATTACTAACTTTGCAAGCTTAGCTCAAGAATATCATTTCCCATTTGCTTCCAATGTCTACAGCCAATGGGAATAATTGGCTTCCACTACTGAGCTTGAACAGCCTTAGAATCATTTACTCAGCACTCAAGATGGCCTTTGTCAATAGAGAAGGCAAGAAAGGTAAAACTGGTTTGCCTTCCTTAGTTTGTAAGTTTATGATCTAATTAAAGTCCATGAATTGTTTTCATCTCTGAGTTATACTTCAGTTGATTTCAGCGGAGCCAAAATACTTACTTTAAATTCTTTCTTTCCTGTTTTAAATTGCAAATACATTTGAAGTTTTGCTCAAATATTTAAAATTTTTATTGAGATTGTATAGATTTGGGAAGCTTTTATATCTTTATCCATCATTGAATCTGTTCAGTTGTAGGAAACAGATCCAGCTACTTGAAATATATAAAGATTCAATACTGTGTAAGGAATGATACTTTAAAAAAAATTGTCCCAAGAGCTGGAGAAGCATACTTAGGCTGAGGCCATCAGAAGTGAGTTCCAGGAGACTACTGCAGAACTGGCCTGTCTTAGGAGCTGTGTCCACTGCCTCTACCCATTAGGAAGACAGAGAATCAGGACCCCACAGCAGAATGATGTTAGTAGTATACAACTGCAGGTAAAATTCAGGAATCAAGAGGATAGAGTAGCGACTACTCAACACCTATAAAGCTAATGAGTCGGCTGTGGAAAGCTGCTGTGGCAAATACTGCCATCTTCGTAAGCATGTTTGCCAGCAAGAACAAAGCAAAAGCTGAAATAAATAAATAAATAAAGCAACATGGTATTTTAGCTTCATGTTCCCCTTTCAGTACTTACTTAAATGTACCTTTTGGCAAAAGTAATTCACTTCTATAACCCTAACTGCAAAAATTTCTGGGAAATTAATTATTTAACTTTCTAGATTTATGACACCCGGACATGAGCTTGAAAGAGGTAGGAATAAATGCTTAGTCACACACTATCTTACCCACTCAAATTATTACCTCCGTGAACATAGCGCATCTATTGTTTTCAAGTCCTTTATGTATTTTAGTAGAGTTTATAAAACTTTCTACAGGCCTTATACATTTTTCTCACATGAATTTCCAGATATGATATAGTTTTTATCCTTATTTCTCTCCTATTTGGGCATAGCAAATATCTTTTTCTGGTTTGATACATCTGTCTGTTGTACTCTTGAACAGACACGTAGATTTTTGACCCCAGTATGATCAAGTAATCAACTTACAGTACGTACAAAGAACAGGAAAACATGTTAAATTATTCCTCAGAATGCAACCAACAAAATTCAGGTAATAGGAAATACTAGGATAATTAATCTTGTTTTTCTTTTGTTTGTTTTTTGTTTTAGAGACAGGGTATTGCTATGTACTCCAGGCCAGCCTTGAACTCATTATGTAGCCCAGGCTGGCCTCCAACTCATGGCAATCCTCCAGGCTTGGCCTCTCAAGTGCTGGGATTACAGGTGTGCACCACTATGCCCAGGCTTCGTTTCTTCAACAGATTTCAAAGGGGAAAGGGACCGGGTGTGGTGGTGCATGCCTGTAATCCCAGCACTTGGAAGGCTGTGGCAGGAGGATCGTTGAGAGTTTGAGACCAGCCTGGGCTACAGAGTGAACTCAAGTCCTGAACTGCATAGCAAGACCCTGTCTCAAAAAGACAAATAAATAAGTAAATAAATAAATAAATAAAATAAACAAAGGGGAAAGGGAAAAACAAGAGTATGGGGAACTTTGCATTAAAAATACTAACCTAAGACATACCAAAACAACCCAAAGAAACAGGCAAACCTGTAGTATGTAGCGATGCATGCTTAGGTGATAAACTAAATTACCATAAAAATAATAATTGTTATTCTTGAGAGAAGGGGGTACAACTGGAAGAATGAAAAGTTTCTCGAGTGGGGAGAAAGTGTTTGCTTGTTTTGTTTGTTTTGTCATACTGGGAGTTGAATACAGGGCCGTCATACTGAGCTACATTCCCAGTCCTTTTTATTTTTTAATTTTGACACAGGTCACTAAGTCACTAAATTGCTCAATTTGGTTTCCAACCTGGAATCTTTCTGCCTCAGCCTCCCAAAGTACTAGTGTTTCCAGGTAGCTCCTTCTAGAAATGAAGATTTCTGGTTTTGCAGTGCTCATGTCACCTCCTGGAGTTGGATTCCAGGTTCTTATTTTAAACAAAGAATTGAACAAAATGAGCAAAACACAATGATGAAGTTTATTTGAAAAAATAGCTAGTTGAGCTGGGCATGGTGGTGCACTCCTGTAATCCCAGCACTCAGGAGGCTAAAGCAGGAGAATCGTTGTGAGTTCGAGGCCAGCCCTGGCTACAAAGTGAGCTCAAGGCCACCCTGAACTGCATAGCGAGACCCTTTCTCAAAAATAAATAAGTAAATAAATAAATAAATAAAATTGAAGATTGAGGGAGAAACTGGCTCTGCAGAGCGAGCTTGGGCCAAGTAGAAGAGAAAAAAGGCAAAATAAAAGCACACCCCGGAGGACACAGGGTGGGCAATTGTGAGGAAAGCCCTGACAGTGAGCACTTCTTGGTGTTTGTGGCCTTTTACCCTGTCCAAATTTCGAGGAAGCACATGAGAACATTTACATATGGGTTCTGAGAGGCAGTGCTGGGATCTCATGTCTCAGGCTGGCATCAGGTCTAGGCTGTCCTGTTGGAAACCTGCTCAAGTTCTCATGAAAAGTCCATGTACAGGGCCTTAGAAACTGTCCTGTGCATGTGTTCCAGAATCTTGCAGTTAACAGGTCATGCCTGCTTCCCCAGTGAGCTTTGCCACGCCCTGATGTCCAGTTTCATTTCCCACCAAGAAACACAAATGCCCATAATTCTTTATGGGTGCTGAGGGAGTGGAGGTCTCTGTCTTCCACAGCGTCTTCCACTTGTGGACCTTGCCTACTGGGGCTGTGGGCTCTCCAACTACCTTGCAGGGTGGTGGCTCACTGGTTGGGCTGAAGAAGAAAAACTTTTTCAGAAAACAGTGAGAAAAGAGTTAATGACCTTTGAGTTGCCTATTTGATAGGAAAAAGAAACTTCACTTTTAAACCAAATATGAAGAGCAGGTCAGATTTCCATGGTCCCTACAGCAGCACTGGAGTCTTGCTTTTTGAAGAGAAATCTCAAGTCTTCCAGACGCTCATAGGAGTAGCTTCCTCCTTTTGGGTGATCCTGTTCTTTAGACAATTCAGGTGGGACTGACTTTACTCTAAAAAGATGAATCTAATTATCTCTGCCACCTTTACTGCAGT